ACATATAAATAAACGAAGAACAAATCGAAAATTGAAGGATGCAAGATATGGATTGAATTGATTTCATAACTAAGATGAAATTTTTATTTCATTCAAATTATTGATAATTGTGTTGTTTAACCTTTGTGTGTGTCATTTATCATAAACACATTTTTTGTGTTAGTTCTTTATATTGTTTTTTTATTATATCGTATAATACTTTTATAACATATATATAATTCTTCAAATCGCATAAACCGCACCGCACCGCATAATGCGGTTTACATGGTTCGCGGCGCGATTTGTGGTTTTCGAAAAACTCAAACCGCATATGTGGTGCGGTTTTGGCTGTAAACCGCACCAACCCGCACCGCGAACACCCCTAGTTTGGGGTAAATATGTATGTTTGGTCCATAACTTTTTTTTAACTCAGAAGGTCCCTACTATTTGTTTTTGTTGCGCGCTTGGTCTCTGTCTTACCTAAAAAGACTATTTTGCCATTGATTTTTTAATTTATTTAAATAAGGTGGAATAGGTAAGGTAATGTAAGGTGAGGTGGAGGTGGGGTTGGGGTGTGTTTATTTAAATAAACTAAAAAATTAAGGACAAAATAGTATTTTTAAGTAAGACAAGGACCAAACGCACAACAAAAACAAACAGTAAGAACATTCTGAGTTAAAAAAATAAGTTAAAAAGCCAACGTACAAATTACTTCAAAGCATAGGGGTCATCCGTGGAATTTACTTGTGACCAAATTAGGTTGAAAGTGATAATTCATGGTGCTATAGTGACAATAACTAGTTTAAATTATTGTTGTATATATTGTAATAAAATAACATTGTATGAATTGGGGAAAAAAATTAAAACTTTGTTACAAAAATAAATAATTAACCTTTGTTGTTTTTTTTTTCAAAGTAAAAAAATTCAATTATTTCATTATTTGATACCAATTGTAGATAAAAACTCGATATATATGGTTCAAATTTACCTGAATATACGGACTTCTACCGAAACAACCCACACAATACCATAAAAATAAACACGCCTTCTTTTCAATACCTGAAAAGAAGGAAGAACAGATTGATTTTCATCTCTCATCGGAATCAATCCCACCACAATTTCCCAATTTTCTTGTAAAGTTTTATCTCAATCGATCATAACAAGTCTACAATGGGTTTAAAGAATCTGTTCAATAAGAAGAAGAAGAAGAAGAAAACCAACGACGATAACAGCACCCACGAACGCCAACACGAAAGCGAAAGCGAAAACGAAAACGAACCCACAGTTCCACCGACGACCGCTGACAAACCGACTCCGGAGACAACGCGTGTTAACTCCTTGAATGCTCGCGTTCGAATCGAGGAGGAATTGGAGCAGATTTTTAAGAAATTCGACGTTAATGGAGACGGGAAGATCTGCTCATCGGAGCTGGGATCGATCATGGCAAGCCTGGGACACCAGCCGACGGAGGAGAAGCTAAAGAACATGATCAAGGAGGTGGACAGAGACGGCGATGGGTTTATAAATTTGCAGGAGTTTATTGAATTGAACACAAAGGACGTTGATCCAACGGAAGTTTTGGAGAATTTGAAGGATGCATTTTCGGTTTTTGATATCGATAAAAATGGGTTGATCACGGCAGAGGAGTTGCGGGATGTTTTGGTTAGTTTGGGGGAGGAATGTACTATAGCCGATAGCCAGAAGATGATTGCCGGCGCCGATCGTGACGGCGATGGAATGATCAACTTTGATGAGTTTAAGGTTATGATGAAGATGGGTACACACTTTGATTCCATGGGGTTGCAGCAGAAACAGGTGCCCTTCAACAAAGATGAAATCAATTAATTAATTAATCACTCATTTTATTTTATTATTCTTCTTCTTCTTCTATATTTCTTGCATTATTTTAGAATTTTAGAAAAAGACTAAAAAACCATATTCAAAGGAATGAAATTTTACTGTTGGTCGATTGAATCATACCTGGTAGGATTGAATTTTGGATGTCTCTAATAGCACTTTCTTTTAATAAGTTATGTGACAATATATTTTTTTTAACATTGAAGAAATATGCAATATTGTTTTTATAATCAGTTGAATTACTTGAAACGACATTGCCAAATTATTTCAAAATTATTTTATTGCATAAAATTTTCGTAATTTTTAAAAATTCGATGGTATACATAGCCCCCCAAGTTACAAAAATTGAAATTTTGATGACATAAGATTATGTTATTCCCTTTTTTGTTAAAACACCCGAACAACATACTTACATAACATGAATATAATTTTTGGCAAAATTTGATAAATATAAGAATGATGGTAACGAATAAGTAATTAAGTAGAGATAGATGTGCACAAACCGTTTAAAATCATTTTGGGACGGTTTTAATCCGATTCGGTTTCTTAGGTTATACACAAAAACCGGTTTTCTTCTGAACCGTTCCGTTTTTTAATTGGTATTTTCAATAAAAATATGTGAATAGATCAGTTCATGTATTAAGTTGTTTTAATGCGTATTCTATGGTTTTAGCATGTCTAAGCAGGTTTTCACCTGTTTCCTAGGGGTTTTCACTAGATCGGTTTGTAACCGGTTTCATTTATTAAGATTCCAACATCTAAAATGGGTTCGTAAAATTCAGATCGGATCAAGGTTTAAATATACATAAGTCAATTCAATAAAAAAGATTAGAGGTAGATAAAAATATTTTATAATAAGCCATTTAAAAATATTTTTTATCACATTTAAACACATTTAGTTTCATAAAAACCGCCCGATCCAAATCGAGAAATAGGTTTGGTTTGTGCATCTCTCTATACAGGTGACAAAAACACGTAAGGTGTCCAAACCTATAATTTTGAATATTAGTCTAAATGGTCAAAGTTGGGTTGGATGACCACAAACAGTTTTGTCATTTTGTTTATTTACATATTTAATATGTAATATGATAAAAAGTAGTATATTCATACAAATTATGGTTAAGCTAAAGGAAGTGGTAACATTCCTAGCACTTTGTCATATCATTTTTTAAACTGTCATGTCATTTTTTGTCCGTCACCTCACTAACACTTTATTCTTAGTATTTTATCGGGAGTGATAGCACTCCAAGCACTCCATTATTTTTTTTATTTTTTTTTCAAATTTAAATAAAATATATGATTTCTTTTTCAAATTTAAACAAATTATGTTTTTTTTTAATTTACGATTTTCTTTTTCAAATTTAAAACAAATTATATTTTTTAATTTTTTTAATAAACAAACATTTAATGTTGTGTAAGTTATCTTTTTTTTTAAAGACAAACACTTAATATTAATAAAAAAGATTACAATAACTTAAAACATAAAATACGATTAAAGAAATTAAAACTAGACTTACTACCTAAAAACTTACTTGAAACCTAAAACTTGATTTAAAACCTACAACACGATTTACTACTAGACGTAAAACATAAATTAAAACTACATCTAAGACATAAAAATATTACGGCTTATCCCACTTGTATTGTTTAGCAATATCATTCCTTACATTGTTGAAAATTCGACGATCCTCCTCGGACAAGTCCTTTCATGGGTTTAAGAAAAGCTTTAGCGTACGATTCCTTTCTTTTTCCTTTCCCAATTCCAAAAACCCCTCAAGCTTAGTGCCCAACTATTTGATGTCGCTCCTTATCTCCTCCACTTCACTCAATGAATTTTGTGCTCCTTTCAACATTCTTTTTGCTCTGTCTTGTTCCATAGGACGAGTTAGAGCTTCATATGGATCGTCATCGTTAATGTCAATTCCCCCACTACGTGCATCAGAAGATTGAATGTGGGTTGACTCGGAAGTTTTGTTTCGTTTGGACATGTCCGCGTAATCATCAACACTTTTTAGATTAAACAATTTTGGTTTGTCCTTAACAACTCCCCAAAACACCTCATTGGAAAAAGGTTTTCCGACTTTCGCCTTATAAATCTTACGAACTTTTGATAGAACATCCACCTCATTTTCACCATTTTAGGGGTTGCGGGTCGCATTCATGTAGATGACATTGAGCTCCACCGAGGCTTTCTTGGCTGTCCTCCATTTCGAGTAAAGTTGATTAGCATTACGGTACTCATTTTTCATTCATACACAAAAACTAATCCAAACTCTATTTTTAAAGGTTATCGAATCTTGGTCGTCGTCGGTCGTCGGATCCTCCGACACATCAAGCGATGCTTGCGCTAATGCCCTCTCTTCATCATCCGTCCATCCTTTGGATGAAACCTTCCATTTTCCTTTACTTTTTCCTTTTGGTTCGACTTCGGGCTCTTGAAATGACTCTTGAATGGGCTCTTGAACGGGGTCTTCATTGGAAGAATTGGTTGACCCATCGACTAGGCGGCGTGGTTGGGATTGAAAATTAGTTTAGGGTTGAGTGTAACATCCCGACTCCCATGTATAATATTTAATTATATTATATTCATTTTGTCAGGGCAACTCGACGAGTTGGAGGCCCCAACTCGCCGAGTAGAGATGGAGATACCCACGTGATTTTTAGAGTCTACTCGACGAGTTGGAGGACCCCAACTCGACGAGTAGGAGCTGAGTGTGAAAACCTTAATTTTCAGGGTTTGTGTCCTATTTAAAGGACCTTAAGCCTTTCATTCCGCCCCCCTTATCACTTTAGCACCCTGAGAGAAACCCTAAACGAGCGGGTATCATCTGAGAGAGAGAGAGAGAGAGAGAGAGAGACTAAAAGTGTGTGATTTGGTGCATTCTTGGAAGGAGATAGAAGAGAAAAAGGCTTGGAACGAGAAGAAGCCCTTGGATCCAGTGTTCTTTCAGCCGTGGGAGGCTAGATCTAGAGTATGGGGCTTTAGTTATGCTTAAAATCGTCTGAATGAGAAAATGGAATGAAGGGACTCGACAAGTTGATGAGCCAACTCGACGAGTTGGTTAGGGTTTTCCCCTATAGTCTGGACACGTGCAAACTCGACGAGTTGATGAGACAACTCGGCGAGTTGAGTTGGAGTTTTCCCGATTTTCGGAGAACAGGAGGAACTCGACGAGTCGCAGAGATGCACTCGACGAGTTGGGTCAACATGGACTGTTGACTCGAGTGTTGACTTTCGTTGACTTTTAGGGTTTGGTCAAGTTATGGATATGGAGACCATGGAGGGGTAAAATGGTCTTTCACCCTTTTCGGGAGTTAGAAAAGGGATTGGCTTAACATCTTTAGTGTGGTTCTTATAAAGTGTTAATTAGAGATGATTATGACATGTAGGCGGAGTCTAGACCGATACCTGCTTTGCTTACGAGGTGTGTCTTCTCACTATACTTACCTGAGTGGTAATACTGTGTGACCGGAGGGTCTTATTTGAGTTATTGACCGGAGGGTGTTATGTGCTTATACTGAGTTATGTGATATCTTGCATTTTGTCCTTGTGATTTATGTTGTATGTTATTTATGTGCTTTATTGAGTTAGGACCGGAGGGTCCAAACCGAGTTGTGAGACCAGAGGGTCTTCACTGAGATACCGGACTGGAGGGTCCGACCCGAGCTGTGAGACCGGAGGGTCCTCACCGAGATACATGACCGGAGGGTACTTATTGAGATATAGCCATGAGAAGCTAATTATTCGTGCATGGTATTTTGGGGAACTCACTAAGCTTCGTGCTTACAATGTTGTGTGATATGTGTTTCAGGTACCTCTCAGGATCGCGGGAAGGCGTCGGCTTGATTGTATACACCAGCTCGAGATTATGTTTTGAGGATTCTGGGAAATTGTCAAACATTTTGTTGTTTTGTGTTTTGAAAAACTTATACATTGGGTTTTGAGAAATGTGGGATTGTGTTTTATGTGGTTTTAAAAATGAAAAAATCTGTTTGAAAATTTAGAGTGTTACAAGTTGGTATCAGAGCCTTGGTTTGAGGGATTCGGATGTACTCTCGGGTATGTTTGGACTCAAACTGAGGAATTGAGAAAATTTTCTAAAAAGAAATGATTTTTCTAAAAACGAGTAAGAGCTTCTAAGAGAAAACAAGATGGAGCAGTGTGTACAATCAGTCAGAGCTCGAACGGTGATTTCCCAAAATACCACTACTTGTTTGTATTATGAGATACTTACGAGATATTAGAGCTGAATGCTAGAGGATAGGCTAGGTATTTCAGGAATTTAGAGCTAGAGTTGCCTGATTAATGATGCCTTAGCCTAGGGAATGTTATTGATTGATATTATCTGCTATTTGCTATGTGTGTGTGCTGAGTAGGGACACATAGCAGGAATCTTTTAGAGAGAGTTTTGAGTAATCTATGAGAGATACCTAGATGAGCATTGAGGAAGCTACCGAGAGAGTAGTTTGAGGGATAGAGTACTTGTGAATTAGGATCCTAAGAGGAGGACTTGGGGTGACTACCGGTTGGTGTGAAAGGTAGTATTGGGCCTGTACTACTGAAAGCATCGGATCTGTATGCGACCCAAGTAAGAACCTTAGGATACTAAGGAGCATGTAGGGGTGGGTAATGGCGTGAGTGCTTGAGCTAGTCTCTGATGATTTTCGTGTTTGTGTTTCAGAGACACTATGGTGATTACCTGCAACAACCCCGAGAGCAATGGTACCAGTGACGAGGAGATTCGCAGGATCATTCATGAGGAGGTGGCGGTAGCTATCAGAGAGGCCATACCAGAGATGTTCGGGTATATTAAGACCACGATGATTGAGACATTTGACGAGCGATACGTTGCTGTCACGGAGGCTGTTGTTGTTGCAAACACCGCAGCCGTAACTACTGCGAGGCCACAGGGAGGTGACTCGTTGTTGTTCTGAGAGTTCAACAACATGAAGCCAACAGAGTTTGACGGGACCCAAGACCCGATTGC